GCCGGCGCCTTTGCCTGAGGTCTCTCAGCAGAACTCCTTGCTCCAGACGCTCTAGACGCTTCAGACGCCTTCTTTTGCCTCATTTTCTTATCTTCCTTGCAGCGGCCATCGGAGTATAATTGCCAGCGGGATCCTGGTTCGGGGCTGGGGATGGGATGCGAGGAATGTGCTTCTTGCGAAGGTCGTAGGGTATGGCGGCAGGAGCGCGATTCGCAGACATCTCGATATCGGTTTGAATATAGGCTATAATTTCCTAATTAGAAAGTCAGAAAAACCTCAGATATGACAAATTCAGTAAAAAATCGATGGGATTTGGTGAGAAAAATCAGTATTTTGGTGGTTTGGAGGGCTTCCGATACAAAAGTTGCAATTTTTTGAGGTTTTGGGGTGCCAAAACTGCACCAAATTTTGCATACGCTAAAATGATGTCAGCGCCGATAAGCGAAATCGCTCTCCACGATAACAGTGAAAAGTTGAATGCAGTTAATTCCTTCGAGATTTCCGTAAGAAATCAAAAATCATGTAGGCATTTTTTAATCACTATATTACGCGCGAGAAAGCAGAATTGAGATGGTTCTTAAGAAGCTCGTCACGTAATACAGGCTGTTGGGACAGCCAATCCAGGTAGGTGCCTTGCTGCGATATAATGGGTAAACGGTCATGCGCGTTTTGCAGCTACGCTTTGCCAAAGAACTCGACAGACTTCACCCCGCAGTCCATTGTGTGATATCGCATTCGACACGAGTGAGGCAGGTCAGATACTGCAGGACAAGTACTGAGTGCGCCCCAATGGCTCCTATCGTGCACTGTGTGCGACATGGTCAGGTATGTAAAAATGCACCTCATTGCGGAACTTACAATTCTACCTGAGGGTTGTTGCTCATTTTCCCTCTCTAAAGGCCGAGCACAACAAAGGCGGCGAGGCTTACTTCATCCGCGATCCGCATCTGACCGAAGCCGGAGTGGCAGAGTGTCGAGCACTCGAATCCAGATTTCCATTCCAGTCCTCGATCGACCTGATCGTCTCGTCCCCGCTGCGGCGGGCACTGGAGACTGCGCTCTGCTCATTTCAGCCAGCGATCGCCCGAGGAGTCAAGATCGTCGCGTTGCCAGAGCTGCAGGAAACAAGCGACGTTCCCTGCGACACTGGGAGTGACGTTTCTGACCTGGAACGGGAATTCTCCGACAAGCAGGGACCGTTGGGGCCGGTGATCGATCTGAGTTTGCTAGATAAAGACTGGAACACCAAGGTGGGTATTGGACCTGCGTACAGTTCTATCAGACGCTGTGTGGGACGAATTGTTGCTGAATGTTCCAACGGAAAAGAAAGGCAAATGGGCACCATCCTCCAACGCCCTCCTCGCGCGCGCCAGGGCAGCAAGACAATGGCTGAAGGCCCGACCGGAGAAGGAGATTGCAGTCGTATCTCATGGGGGATTTCTCCATTACCTCACCAATGACTGGACGGGCATTGGGGCTGCTGAGCATGGTGAGTTGAAGACAAGAAACTGAATTCCTTTTCGTAATCACCGCTATCGAATTTCTCTTGCTGACAGCAAACCTGCAGCCAGCGCCTGGGAGAACTGTGACTTCCGGACATATGTGTTCAGCACCGACGACGCTGACGAGGACGCGGTGCTGATGGAAACAGAACAGTCCAGGGTGGCCAGAGGGGCGGCCGGTAGGATCCCCTCCAAAGAAGAGCAAGAGTCACTCTATCTGAAGACGATGCAGATGTGGGAGGATCGAGGCTTCCAGAACCCGCTGAAGCTGAATGAAAAGTTCGAAGAACCGGCAGCAAATTAGAGGTACGCTGAGATATCTGATGAAGGACCTCCCCAGGTGACAAACAAGCGACAGCTCATTCAGTCCACTCTTACAACAATGGTTGGGGCAGTGGTAGGAGTTAAACAACCTACTGCCATCCTCTCTACCACGCCCTGTATCCTGGTCGAATCCCCTCCGGTCAATCATTTTAATGGACCAGTGCGGGGTATATTTTATCTCAACCGCCCACCCCTTTTTTTTTCTAAATGCCGTTACTCTTTCCTGCAAAGGAGAGACGATAATGATACCCGCGAAACATATCATGCAGTTTTCTAATCCCGTCTGCATAAGTTTGAAATGCAGCAATATATACTCCTGGCCCTTTATATATACATCATGTCAACTAGCATCTATACCACTGTTAAAACTGCCACTCTAGCAACAAGGCTCATCTGTCCCAAGCCATACCATTGCCGGATCTACTCAGCGACGATCGCTTCGTCTACGTGACGACATTGCAAGGTCGTCCAGCGCAGAACCCCTCTACATTCTCCTTTGTAATGCGCCGCTGGTTTTCCTGCGTCCTCTCTGCCAGCCAGGCCAGATGGGGACTAACAGTCAGATTCAGATCCTTGGTATCCTCGGCGAGTAAGAGGGAGTTCTGAGGGCTCGCAGGCTCTTTTGCAAATACGTCCGTCGCCGCGCCCATGATCCAGCGCTCCTTAAGCGCAGTGACGAGAGCGGCCTCGTCGACGATGCCTCCGCGGGAAACGTTGACGAGCACGGCCTGGTGCGACATGCTCTGCAACTCGGGCGTCGAGATCATGTTCAGGGTAGAATTGGTCCGCGGAACGGCAATGAACAGGACGGTGCTCTTCTTCAGGACCTCATCGAACGGGGTGCGCTGCACCTGGTCCGACTGCGTTGGATGACTTGCATTGGGGTCTGTGACGCCTTTTCGTCCGGAGATCAAGACTTTCATACCGAGGCTCTGCGCGAGCTTTGCGATCCGCTTTCCTGTATTCAATGGCTGGTTAGAAACATGCACAATCACAGTATTTTTTATGACCAAATTGACAAGAAAGAGATACCAAACAAGCAACCATGAAATATCCGTCTATGGACCAGTCAACATACCTATAGCGCCATACCCGATAATCCCCACGACCTCATCCTCACACGTCAACGGAGGCTGGCGGTCGCGATCGAGCATGTCAAACATCAGCGTGCCACGGTTGGCCCACTCGCCCGCGCGCGTGAGACTGTGCATCTCGAGCACCCGGCGGCGGGCGGCGAAATAAAGGGCGATGGCATGCTCCGAGACGGCCTCGACGTTGGCATTGGGGGTGTTGGAGACGACGATGCCGCGCTTGCGGCACGCGTCCAGGTCGATGCTGTCAGTGCCGACGGCGACGACGGCAATGAACTGCAGGTACGGGGTCACTTGGGGGGAGAGCGCGACGGCGTCGAGCGGCGTGACGGAGGTGACGATGATGGTCGCGTCGTGGATGCGGCTGTGGAGTTCGGACAGCGGGGTCTCGGGGTAGACGGTCGTGGTGTGCGTGAAAGGCGGAGGGAGGTCGAATTCCAAGGGCTTGTAGTATTGGCCTTGCAGGATGACGATGTTGTGATGTGTGGGCGAGGAGGGAGGTGACATGTTGGAGAGAGAGAGAGAGATTCCAATTCAGACAAGTATCAAATGAAATGCAATTGAACCAGACGTCCCTTTTCTGGAGGTGAAAGAAGAAACAGGTTCAGAATAATTTACATCTAAGTAAAAATGTCATTATGCCAGTATCTACAATGCATCCAGTATGCAAGCCAATTGTGACTGCACAATCTGTACAGAGCCAGCTTTTTTTAAGCTGCTGGCTGCCCCGCTCCGCTGATAATCGCCGCGGGGTTGGAGATAGCAGGATTGGAGACTGGAGAAGCACGCCCTGTCGACGACATTGGTGGGTCACGTCCATCCTGAGTAGATTAGTATCCAGAAAGCTTTGACATACAGATAGCTGCCCTTAGATCTCGCACACAGGCAATGAAAACTATATTATATTACTGTTTTCCCTGTACCGCACATAGTCTGAGCCGGTACATGTACGCAGACAGGCATACGCGTCTGTTCGCGCCTGCAGCCTTTTCGCCTGCAATCTGCACGAGTTTAGTTAGATACGTGTGTGAGGCTTGGACAGGATTCAGGAACTGAATGAACGTGCTGATCTCGAGGCTCGCTTCGATCTGACCAATCAGCTGCCAGCAACTCTATCCGTCGCGTCGCGTCTTCGAGGACAAACAGACTTGAAACATAGCGGACACAGGAATGCAGCTGAAAGGACTATTGACTATAAGTCTAAGACAGGAGTTTCTTTTCTCTCTTCGATGACATCATCTGTTAACATTTCATCTATATGCACATCTATATGCACAACTACATGTATATACATACAGACATACAGTGCATACTAGAACAGTTATCAGTATTTCTCTCTATGGCTGATGCGATGCAAGCACTACACGCCAAAAATCAAAATAATAAAACCAACAAATGGAAAAAAAAAGCCAAATCTTGCTCAGCAGACAGAGATTCCTGTCTGTGGTAAATGGCCCAAAAATGCAGAGCACACGTGTCTGGAATGCGCCAAGCACACAGTGTCACAGTCTGATAAGACACGCGGCCCACTGCATACATGCCAGGCCGTGTACATACTTGACCTTGAGCCTTTTCAGGCAGTTAGCTGACACATTTAACTTTCCCCCTGCCGCCCATGAGCATGAATATGGACGCTATGTCTTGCCGTGAATGCAAATCCATCCAGATCGGTGGGAGATTTCCCTTCGTGGAATTTCCAGCATTGCCTCCCCCTGTAATTAACTATGCCTACCTACCTGCCTCCTGTCTGCCATTTCGTGTGTGGGTGGCACGGTTGAAAAACGAAAGGCTGTTATATATGGGGATGACTCTGCGTGTGGAAATGTAGAGGACGAGCGAGGTTGACAATTTCCACCAATTCATCTTCCATCTTTTTTTTCCTTCACTCCGTCGCTCACTACGAGTGAGCACATCAGACTTTACTTGCATTTGCCTCTGCAATTGAAACAGTGAGCAGACACTCGGACAGACAGAAGTCTCACTGCAGGGCAACATGAATCTTTCTACTGTGAGTTGTTTATCTCTCGAGGATCACCCATCTAACAAATCCCCAGCTTCTTATCACTACCACCGCCCTCTTCCTGCAAGCCTTTCCGGCAGCCGCCCTCATGGGCGCAAGAATATGGACCCATTTCTACGCAGAATGTCCTGACGTCGACTTTTCCATGACCACCGCACGAACAAACGCCGCCACTGCCATAACATCGTCCGTGGACGTCCGCCAAGGCGAATGCGCCGGTGTCCCGATCAAGCGGACCGACATGGCCCAGGCCGGGTCGATCTCCATCGACGCCCAGTTGATTGTCGTGCAGCCCTTCCAGACTTGCAACGTCACCGTCCACGAAGTGGCGGAATGTCTGGATGATCCGCTCGTTGTGGCGCCAGTCAAGGATCGCGTGGCCCACAGCGAATGCGAGGAGAGAAAATTCAAGGCGTGGACGGAGGTGTGGGTTCGCCTGGACTGTGAGGAGGTCGGGACGGGCTCCTGGAACAAGTACCACAATTCGATCTCGAGGAACAAGCCCGTCAGAAGGCATCTGGAATCAATTTGAAACAAAGGCGAGGGGAGGAAGCTGAGGCAGATATGATTACGCAACTTGAGGATATGAATGGGACGATGGTTATGCCTAATGTACTGCATATATGGATTATGAATGCTGGAGAGGTTCTTTGTGGTATTTCGAATTGGGATTAGAGGAATTTATGAGGATGAAGGGTATAATTAGGCATAATAATAATTAGGTATGATAAATTGTCATAAGCAAGTATGGTAGTTTTGCAGAACGGAAAGATATAGGTATAAGCAAGTCGATAATTCCACCTTTTAATACTAGATACTCACCAGCATATCGGCTGAGATACAGCCAAAACGACAGCAAAAAAGGCCATGTAAAAAAAAGCTCACACCCCCAGCCGACTTCAGCTGTTAGGGGTGCTACGAAAACCCCTGTTTCTCCCATTTCTCTGTCTGTGACTTCACCGAAATAGGCAGGGGCTTTACTGAGCGCCAGAGGCGGCTCGACCGAGACCCCCAGCTCACAAAGAGAAGGAGGAGGAGGAGGAGGGCGGAAGTGCGTTACGCACGGAGCTAGGGGCCCCAGTTTCTGTTGAGGGGTATACTGTTATGTTGAGATTTGTACCTGCCAACGGTCTCAGTGTCTGGTTATATGGTCGACGGCAGGGAATAGCAAGCTGGGATATACCTACTCTTTACCTAGATAGGTAAAGGAACTGATTTTCTCACAAGAATGACTCCATTAATTCTAGCAATTGCGTATTGAAGCCCATGAAGTGCAGTCTACACAGTGATGCAAGCATACCATGCAGTCAGGGCTGTACAAGGGCACACTCCACCTTCTGGACGGTCTCTTGGCAGTCTCTCTGCAGTCTTGCAGAATTCGATGAGAATTTTCCCTCCAGACGTCTGCTCTTGAAGAATAAAGCAATGGCAGATGATGCTGTATGTTGTCCTGCGATGATATCAAGCGGGCGCTCATTGGTCAATGCGTTGTTGTCACGTGACTTGTCGCGTCCAATCAGCGGCACCCCAAGTCCGGGTATTCAGCAGCGAGGAATTGCCCAACTTCTCGACGACAGCGACCCTTCTCGCTCCGCGCTTCTTCTCCTTTCCCACCCCTCGCCCTCGCTCCATTGAGCGTCCCTACCAAGATGATATCTCGAGCGGCGGCCCCCTCGACTTCCTCTCTCGCTCACCTCTCCTCCCGCACCCTCCCTTCCGCGTCCGCCGCTGCCCGTCCGGCCCGCTCCTTTGCAACCGTCCAGGATGGGGCTGCGCCCAAGAAACACTATGGCGGTCTGAGGGACCAGGATCGCATCTTCACCAATCTGTACGGACACCACGGGACGGACCTCAAGACGGCCATGAAGTATGGTGACTGGTACAAGACGAAGGAGATCATCCTGAAGGGCCACGACTGGGTATGTCGTCCTGCCGGCAGGTCTCTGGCATGTCGCTGACAGACTTCTCAATGGCACAGCTTATTAATGAACTCAAAGCATCTGGTCTCCGGGGCCGTGGTGGAGCTGGTTTCCCGTCTGGGCTCAAATACGTGAGTAGAAGAAATTTTGGCCCAGATTCTTCGTGATGGACGAAGCTAAGTGTGGCTGTGGATCATCAGTCTTTCATGAACTTCAAGGACTGGGAAAAGGACCCCCGACCGCGCTACCTGATCGTCAACGCCGACGAGGGTGAACCAGGCACCTGCAAGGACCGAGAGATCATGCGCAAGGACCCCCACAAGCTCGTCGAGGGTTGTCTGGTTGTTGGCCGCGCCATGAACGCCAATGCGGCCTACATCTACATTCGCGGCGAATTCTACCACGAAGCCACTGTGCTCCAGCGCGCCATCCACGAGGCCTACCAGGCTGGCCTGATCGGCAAGAATGCCTGCGGAACCGGCTACGACTTTGACATCTACATCCACCGTGGAGCGGGTGCCTACGTTTGCGGTGAGGAAACGTCTCTCATCGAGTCGCTTGAGGGCAAGGCCGGCAAGCCTCGTCTCAAACCCCCGTTCCCCGCTGCCGTCGGTCTGTTCGGTTGCCCCAGCACGGTCACCAACGTCGAGACGGTGGCCGTGACGCCCACCATCATGCGTCGTGGCGCGAGCTGGTTTGCGTCGTTTGGCCGCGAGCGGAACTCGGGAACCAAGCTGTTCTGTATTTCTGGCCATGTCAACAACCCGTGCACGGTCGAGGAGGAAATGTCGATCCCGCTGCGCGAGCTGATTGAGCGCCACTGCGGTGGTGTGCGAGGTGGATGGGACAACCTCCTGGCTGTCATTCCGGGTGGCTCGTCGACGCCGATCCTGCCCAAGTCGATCTGCGATGACCAGATCATGGACTTTGATGCTCTGAAGGACTCGCAGAGTGGTCTTGGAACGGCCGCGGTGATTGTCATGGACAAGTCGACGGATGTGGTCCGCGCGATTTCGCGGCTGTCCAAGTTCTACCGGCACGAGAGTTGCGGCCAGTGCACGCCCTGCCGCGAGGGCAGCAAATGGACGCAGCAGATGATGGAACGGCTGGAGAAGGGCCAGGCACGCGAGCGGGAAATTGACATGCTGCTGGAGCTGACGAAGCAGGTCGAGGGCCACACGATCTGCGCGTTGGGCGAGGCGTTCGCCTGGCCGATCCAGGGCCTGATCCGGCATTTCCGACCAGAGCTGGAGGCGCGGATCAAGAAGTACGAGCAGGAGCACGGCAAGCAGCCATTTGCGGGTGGATGGGCGCCCGAGTCGAGGAATGAGGGCAAGCTCATTTCTCCAGGGCAGTAAACACGCTGCAGGAGGTAGTATAAGACAGGTTGATTTGTTTTATTTCTGTCTGTGTCTGTTCTTTATTGTACAGTTCCCGCAATGCCAGTTTTCCTTTGTTAAAAGTTCATTAAGTTCATTCTCAATACTCCGGAGTGTGGTAGACCTTGGTAGATCTAGGTAGATCTCCACCTCTGTAAGATGTACAGTACAGTACCTAGCTAGCAGTCCTAGGACACTTCATCTTTCATCGGTTATGTACTGTATACAGTAAGTACGGTTTACTTTGTATGGTGTATGCACTATATCTACATGTGCAAGTTGCTTTTTTTTCAACTTCGGCATATCGTATATGCACTATACCCTTACAAAAAAAAAAAGAAAGGACAAGAAGAAAGAAAAGGTCATATCCATATCTATATCCATATCTTTCCTCCTAGGCTACGTACTCTGTACTCTGTACTGTAGCTGAGCTGATCTGAGCTGAGCTGAGCTAACAAATCTCATTTATTCTCTATCTACTTAACCATGACGTTGGACATCAATATGGAAAAGGACATGAACAGGAATGGCATTCCAATCCCAACGACTGCGTAGACGAAACTTAACTCGTGCATTACCTTATGAATATTTGCTCAAGACTTCTTAGAACCTAGCATGTATGTATGATAGGAGTGAAGTGAAGTAAGTAAAGTAAAAAAAAAACTTAGAATAGACTCAACCATTATAACTGGATGATGAAGTCTAATTAGTTCTCTCTCTCTCTCTCTTCTTTTTATCTTCATACCTACCTACCCACGTTTAATATAAGGAGGACAGAAGGACGGGAGGCAAGGAAAGAAGAATAAAGAAATATTTTCTATATATAAATGAAAAAAAAAGGATTATTCGATATAAACAATAGAATAGAATACAACTGCGTATTTATGATTATTAGTCTAGTTTGGACTATTAGTTTAAGCTTTCTTGGTTCGTGTTTTGTATATGATATAGGAAAGGAAAGGAAATGGAAAGAAGAAAGAAAGCCTGATCTGAAATACATTAAATGACCAGGGGTATAGAGGTATATATCTATCCATCTATCTAATTGTCTGTCTGTCTGTCTATCTACCCATCTAATCGAAGATATGATCTGAATGGTTGTATGTATGATGACATATGTTTGTTTCCGAATTAAATGCACGCATGGGTACATTGTTAATCATGCACAGTACAGTGATACCTGCAGCTCCATCTAGTGGATGTTTTAAGTCGACGATTCTTGCTTTCTCTTCTCCAACCTCTCCCACCGTCTCCTCCTCCACTCCATCCCATACGACATCTCCACCCACAGCAACCCCGTCGCGACCAACATCACCATGCCAACGAAGAAGAAGCACCATCCCCACCCCATCCCGCTGAGCATGTAGTCCACGACCGCCGCGCCCACGGCGCCCAGCAGGCATCTTACGAGATTGCACGCCGCCGACGCCGTCGACGGTCTGTCCGGGAAGATGTCGACGAGCAGCGTGCTGAGCGTATTCGACGACGCGACGATGCCCAGGCCCATGACGAACTGCAGGATGAGTGGCGCGGCGAGCGGCGCGCGGCGCTCGAGCACCCACCCGTAGGGTAAGAAAGCGGCCAGCTGCAGTCCCAGGAAGAAGAAGACGGGCTGCAAGCGCGCCTTTTCGATGGGGAAGTTCCGGAGGTCGTCGCCTCGGCGGCGGTCGATAGAGACTCCGAGTTTGCGCGCTGTGCGCCGGTAGCTGAAGTCGAGGATTTTGCCGTTTAGGACGGCTCCGATGCAGGCGCTGATGCCGAGGGGGCTGCAACAGAATCGGTGTAAGTAAGTAGTTGACTGACTGACATGCTAGATAGGTCTGACTTACAGAAAACACAGCCCAACTTGAAGCTCATTATATCCGTACAGCACAGGAAAGATATTCGGCGTGCTGGTCATCAGGACCAGGTTCGCAAACATGAGCAGTCCAACATAGGTAATAATCACAAGGCCATCCTTCTCCGCGAGGATGGCGACCGAGCGCAACGGGTTCGGAAAGCTGATCTTCCTTTGTCGGTTGCTAGATTCACGTACAGCTCGCCGGGCTTGCTGCTGCTGCTGCTGCCTCGCTTTCCAATACTGCAGCAGGGACATCCTCCACCACTCCTGCGGAGGGACACTGCCGTCTCCGACGATCTTGCGCGATGTCTCGGGCACGAGCACCACGTACACGACGAGGTAGGACCCGCTGATGATGACCAGGAACCAGAACACGCTGCGCCAGCCGAGAAACTGAGCCAGCAGGCCGCCGATGACGGGGCCCAGGGCGGGCGCCACCATGACGCCCGCGGCCATGGGGCCCATGAACTTGCCTCTCTCACCCGTAGTGGTCACGTCGGCGATGACGCCGTATCCGAACGCGACGGTGCCGCTGCTGCCGGCGCTCTGCAGGCAGCGCAGGACGAGCAGCGCCGCGAAACTGTCCTGCAGCGCGAGCCCGATGTTGGCCGCCGTGTAGATGGCGAAGGCGAGCATGTACGCGGGCCGCCGGCCGCTGGCGTCGGAGAAGGTGCCCATGAAGCTGGGCGCGATACCCTGCAGGACCATGTACGTCGTGATGGAAAGGTTGACCAGTGCCGTTGTCAGATGGTAGTTCTGCACCAGGAGCGGCATGACGGGGTAGTAGATCTGTCCTGAAAGGGGGGAGAAGAAGGACGCCATGGTGGTCATGATGACAATGAACCATTTCTCCGACGTGCTGAACGCGGTGTACGCCGGGCGAGTTGTCGTCGTCGTTTTCTGTGCCTCGGGGTCTGTCGCTTCCGCAGGGTCTGTTTTCTCAAGAGGACCAACTCCATCGTGGCTGGTATTGTCGAGATTCTGACTGTCTTGTTTATTCTCCATCTCGATCGAGAAACTGCCATGAAAGCTGAATCAGCATGGATAACAAACCATGAAAATTCTGTTCTAAAACAGAAAACAACTGAAAGGAATGCACGTACACAAGGAGAAAGCACTGTATAGCCGTACGTACACAAACACAAAGCACTGTACAGTTACCTGCCTGCCTGACAGATTGACTGACTGACCAACCGCTGTATTGTAAGCGACAGACAAAACCTGCAGTCTAGAACATCCACACCCAACGTGAATTCACATATACCATCAAGCTTGAATGAATATGTACGTACCCGCGGAACGAAGTAATGAGCAAAACCGGGAGGTAGAAAAAACAAGAATTTCCCCCCCCCTTTTTTTTTAAAAAAAAAAACAGAAAACAAGGGGACAAACAATGAGAGAGATGTCTCGATAGATCTGTATCTTATATAAGTATCTCCCTAAGAATAACATACAAGTCAAGTATGTATCTTCTCCCTGACTGACTGATGGACAGTCAAAAAATCTCACAGCAGTATCATCAACATATAAATCTAATAAACTAGCGCGAGCAACTTTTTTTTCCCTCTCCCCTAATATTATTATTTGTACTCCGTACGGAGTACAATACCCCTATATAGATCGACATACTGTACAGGCCCGGTTCCGGGATTCCCCACCTCTAACCTTCCTTCTGAGTATATACTTGGGTTAATACCTAACTCTGATTGGTTCGTTGTTTCCCGGAACCGGCGTTGTTGGGTTGGGTGGTCGGGCCGGTGGATTAACTCTTAAGCTACACCTAAGTAAAATAATACTATGAGTATAATGATGATTATGATGCTGTTGTCTACTGGGACGAACATAATTATTATTGCTCGGTTTTATAGGGAGAGGAACTAGTAATATTCGTAGGAATTTGAAAGAGAGCAGTATGAACGAACGAATGAATGATTTCTGCGTCTTGCAATATGGTTGATAAAATATGTAGTATACTCGACGGACATCAAGGTTATTGTCTCCTTCCCTACGAAATGCAAATCTATGGCTACGCTATTAGACTGCAGAATGATTCATCTAGACTGGCAACTATTATTGACAACTTATTACGTACTTGTTACACTCTTGCTAACCAGAAACAGCAGATCAGCAGACTAGAATACAACAGGTCATGTAGACTCAAAACTCGTCGCTCTGGACACATGGACTGGAGTACAGACGTGCAATATCAAAATGATACAGTCGTAACCACCTCGCTGACTGTCTCAGTACGCACTCGCCATCACCGCGCTGTAGTATCTCCGACTGATCTCCGCAGTATGCATCACTCGCGCATCTCCCGTCAGAGGAAGTTTGAGAATCGCAGACAGTTCGACAGCCTACTACCGTCAGCAATGCATGCATAACAGGATGCAGGGGGGGGAACTCACATTGTCCTCCCGAACACACCAACCAGCAACCACTCGGCTCATCTCCATAAACGCCACCCGCTCATTCAGGCCCTCCGCCCCAGAGCTCTTGTTGACCTTCTCACCCATCACCACCAGCGACCCAACAAGACGCTTGAGGCTGGCCTGGTCTCGTTGACCGCTCTTGGCCGTCACCAGACGCAAAAAGTCCTCATACACCGCCCCACCGCTCGTCCAGCCTCGCACCTTTCGCTCCGGCGCATCTCCAAACCCGGACAACAGCTTCTGCAGTGTGTTGTAATCGCGCTCGATGATCGTCCGTGGTCCCACCTCCCGGCAGAACGTCGCGTGCGCCTCGTTCCAATTCTTGCCGCGGATGAGATAATGGACCTCGTTCGCTGCGTCACCCACATCGCGAGCGTAAAGCGCCTTCGCAACCCAGATCCAAGCCTCGGGCAGTTGGAGATCATTAGTGAGATACTGCCAACGGGCATCAGGCGTGCCGTTAGCGGTCACCGGGCTCGGCAACTGCGCTGCAAATCGGGCGAGGGTCTCCTTGACGCTGCGCTCCCGGTCCACGGCGCGGGAGAGATGCAGAAGAACGAATAGCGCTTGCTCCAGCCGACCAGATGCGCCGAGCTCCCAAGCGTAATCCCAGACGAGCTGATCAGCCCGAGCGGTGTCAACGACAAGAGCATCATGATGGCCAACAATGGAGGTGACGACCTGGTGCAGCTGAAACGACAGACGGTTCGAAAGTCGATCGCCAGTCACCGACTCTGGAAGCACCGCTGCAGGGAACTCAAGCTTAGGAAGGCCTGAAGCGTCTGCACTACCGGCAGCCACAGCATAGACCTTCAGCAAGACCCAAAGCGGGGACTCCCGGCTTAACGCGTTCTGGTTGTGGCGCAGATCGTCACGTGCAGCTTCCAGATGAGGTGGGAAAGGAAACGCGGGCTCATCGCCCTCGGTCAGATCACGCAGGAAGAGAGAAACAGCGGCCTCGATCGGCTCGTCATCCGTGATGCCGTACCACAGTCGGAGACCAAAGGCCTGGAACCAGTCGAGTTCAAACCGTTCCGAGAAGGTAAACGTGGAGGCACGATCTTCCACAGCACCGGACGGACGTCCCTCGCTGCGGAGAGCGTTACCAGCAAGCAGTTCATACAGAGCGCGGATGGGTTCATTCATCTCAGAGGAGACGTTGTGCGTGCGCCATGATTCGACCTGTTTCTGCATATCAAGGCGGATCGTCTTGTCCCGGCCGATTTGCGAAAGCAACGTCGCCAGGTGCAAGTTCCCGCTCTCGACCAGGGTCCTGCACGCATCTTCGACGCGGTGGAACGTGAGATAGGCCACAGCTCGCTCTTCTGGAGACGCAATCTTCTCCAAGTCCTGGCTGTGCTTCTCACGGACGATGCTCTCCCACAGCCGGCTCAGTCGATCCTTCTTGATGCGATGAATGAACTTCTGCCTGAGTTGAGCCGGAACACCGGCCGAGATATCGTCTTCGATGTCGTCATTGAAAAGGATGTTCGCCAGCTGCCACACGTGCCGCTCCAAATCAGCCTGTGGCGAGGACCCCGTGCATAGCTGGATGAATGGCCGGAAATCAGACTTGGCGTTTCGAGCAAAGGGAATGCCATCAATTAGACGGATGACAGACTGCTTCCTCTGGGCTTCTAAAATATCAACAGGCTACGTATTGTTAGCGGTATCATCACACATTACCTAAGAAAAGGGAACCAACCTCTGGAGCTTTGTTAAAAGCCAGTACGACGATATCTCGTTCCTCACTCGTCACAGAGAACCCATGCTCCCATGGCTTCCCTACATCAGGCAGAGAATCTCTCATGTCGTTTTTGACGCTGATGATCGCATCCATAGGTCCCCAGCGAGGCTTGAACGAGTGATGGAACGCAATATCGTCTTCGGTCAATTCGTTCGTGCTGCTCGCAAAGGTCTTCGGTTTCTTCGAGTATGGCCACTGCATAGAGACAAAGATGAAAATTTAGCTTAATCACAATCCATTTTTCAACTTGGGTAAGATCTAACTAGAGGTTTTGAGATCGGGCGTATGGCTCAACCTCCTAAGTACATGGGACTTGCTGTAGAGAAGAAACGATTGGAAGGGGACCAAACCTCAAAGCCTTTCGCCTGCCCATTCTGCTTCTTGCTCGGAGACTTCCCGGCTTTCTTCGGCTGCTGGAACAACGAATTCATCAAATCAATGCTTGTCGTAAATCCCTTCGGTCGACCACCCGCTGTCCCTGCATCTTTCTTTGGAGTGTCATCCTTTAACTTTCTGTCCGTAAATGCGGTGGCCTGCAATTCTCGCAAAGCATCGCGATCCTGCTTCCTAGGGCTGATAGTCCTCTGCAACTGCTCCGCCCAATCGCCGCTGAGATCAAGACGCGGCTTCGCAGGCGTACCAAATTGCATCGAGCGCTGAGTGTCTTCGAAACTAGTCATGACGGTGCGTGTAGTGTTTTCATGCTCCACGGTGTGGTGAGGAGCCGGGAAGGAGCCCGCCATCTCCATGTCGCCGTCCTCATCCGATCCAACTTCTGATTCGACCGATTGCTGACTTTCAGTGACTTCTTCCTCATCACCGTCAGCCTCAGCAGTTGAACCCGTGGAGCCGTCCTCTAAAAAAGATCCCTCTCCATCTTCCTCTTCTGTCGATTCCATTTCTTCATACTCGTTTGCCTCGGCCTGGTTGCCAAATGCACCAGGGACCACCTTGCGTTTCTTAAAATCAAAAGTGTCATCATCAACTCCGGCATTGGACCCGACGAACGACTCGTCGACCGAGAAGCTCGAAGTGGGCTCGGAATTAAAGGTGTTGTCCAAGGACGTGCGGGCGGCGGGAGACTGAGCCTTCGGAGTGTCAGGAGCGGCACTCAATGCGCTGTGGTTGAAGCTCTCACCTTCGTCCTCGTCGTACTCAAGACCATATGTGGTGAAGTGAGGAACCCTGAAGACCCAGATTCCGGTGTCCTTTTCGTAGGCCACGAACTCGGTGTTGTGCACTTTCTTCAAACGTTCCACGTGTTTCTCATAGAGAGGACCGCTGGTGACGGCCGAAGGCACCTTCTTATCGCGGCCTCGAGGCCAGGAGTTCTCAATCCGCAGAGTGGACGGCACATTGAGACCCTTGCCCCTCGGGGGTTTCTGAGCATCATCCGGATAAACGGTAATGCTGCGAACGTTGATTTGCACAATTCCACCGAAGAGCTGATCCAGATCGATCCCGGTGAGATCGACGGGTCGATCGAACGTGACCTGGCCACAAGCTTTGCGGCCAACAGTGAAGCCTTCCACGTGCTTCAGCTGCTCACGGCTCATCTTGCTTAACTCGGCGCGAGACGGCTTCATCCAGTACTCGCCCGGTTGAGGATCACCGGCGGGAACGGAGGGGAGCTTCGACAACCCATTGGTGGCCGGGGAGTCTTCGGCGTGCTGCTCCTGGACGACAGAGAGCTCATTTCCGCGCACTTGCTCCATTTCTGGCTGGGCCGCGGTTTCAGTCGAGGTACCGTTCACTCCGTTGACATGCCCGTTCTTGCGGATAGATCGAAGGAAGCCGAGTTCCTCCGCAGTCGGCTCAGGGCTCTCAGTCTCCGCACGGACAACCGCGCCATTCGTGTCTCCGTCCGGTTCCTGAGAGCGAGAATCGAAGCTGACCCGCTTCTTCAGCCTGTCACTCTGCTGACCAGCATCTTCGCCATTCGTAATGGAAGCAGCCGGCGTAGACGCTGAGCGCTGGAACAGGTCACTCCTCAAGCTGCGGTCGATGGTCAATCGCTTGAGGCTGCCACCCGAGTATCTCGAGTTAGAGCCAGTCAGGGCGCCTGGAGACAGGACGCTGTCGCTGTCCGGGTCGAAGGTCTTCCGGAGATTGCTGGTAGAGAAGCTCTTTCCGAAACTACGGCTAAAGCTGCCATTAACGCTTGCACTGCGCAGGGTGTTACCACCAAGAAGGCTGCCGCCAAGGCTCGAGACACTGGACGCGCTCGATGGCGAGCCGTAAGTAGAGTAAGAGAATCCATAACCCTGACGCCGGGGCGGTGTAATCAGACGGTTGGCGGCATTCGGGGTGATCTTGTAAACCGGGAGAGGGGTGCGCTGCTTCTGCTTGACGCTGGCGGACAAGGGGGTTGCTAAAGGACCAGGGCTGGGAGCGTTGGGGGCGGGCAAACCGGAGAAAATAGACTGATTGCCGTATGGGTTGCCTTCCAGGAGAGAAGCCTGCAAGCTGCCAGGAGCCGGCTGCTGCTGCTGTGGCTGTTGCTGTTGCTGGTTTTGCTGAGTAGAACCGAATAGACTGCTGGTTCCGAACCCGCCAGTCTGTTGCTGTTGATTTTGCGTGTTGCCAAACAGCGAGCCGGTGTTCTGTGTGGTGGTGTTCTGTCCAAACAGAGAAGTTCCAGTGCTAGTTCCTCCGAACAGACTTGGCTTCTGCTGCTGTTGCTGGTTCTGGGTGTTACCGAAAAGACTCGAGGTCGAAGTCTGATTATTCTGGTTGGTTCCGAAGCCGCCAAACGTGGACGTGCCGGTGGTCGTAGTGCTGGTACCTAGATTGCCAAACAGACCTGGTTTCTGATCTTGTTGCTGATTGCCACCACCAAACAGGGAACTAGCGCCCGTCTGCTGATTCTGGCCTCCAAAGAGGGAGCCGGTGTTTTGCTGTTGTTGCTGATTGTTCTGCCCGAAGAGGGAGCCACCCGTGCTGGTGCCACCGAACAAGGTACCACCGGTCTGTTGCTGCTGGTTGCCGGTCGAGAGGCCGCCACCAAAGAGTGACTTGCCCTGGTTCTGGTTCTGATTCTGCTGCCCAAAACCGCCGAAACCAGTCGTGCCAGTCGGTTGCTGCTGGCCGAATGGGGAAGAGGTAGCAGTAGTGCTACCGAAGGGGTTCGAGGCACTGGTGGTATTCTGCTGTCCAAAACCGCCAAAGCCGGTCCCTCCGGTGCTTCCAAACAAGCCTGTTTTCTGCTGATTATTCGTGTTTCCGAAGAGAGAGCCACCGGATCCGAATGTGCCGGTACCGCTTGTGGAACCGAAGCCACCAGAGGTCGATGTCGTTCCGCCGAATAAGCTAGGTTGGGAGGTGGTGGAGGTCCCTCCGAAAAGAGAAGTGCCCGGCTTGCTGGCGCCGAACAAGGGGTTCGAGGACGTCGTACCACTGCCGAAGCCTCCAGTGGTTTGTGTCTGACCAAAGGCAGACGGCGCACTCGTTCCAGTACCAAAGCCACCGCCTGTAGAACCGAAACCCGAAGTGGTGTTCTGCTGACCGAAGCCGGTCCCTCCAAAAGCAGAGGTGCCAAATGCACCGGCTTGTCCACTTGCATTCCCATACCGACGGCCGTGCTGGTAGTCACCTAGACGGAGCTCCTCGAACGAGTATTTCTGGTATGGTTGCATATAGGTGATACTCTGGTAACAGCTGGTCGTGGAGGTTCCGGGGTCCTTCTCGCTGACAGGGGCATAAGGGTGGCTTGCAGTTCCCTCGCATGGTGGCACACCTCCGAAAGCAGTGCCAAATCCTGAGGTACCCGTTGTAGAGCCAAAACCGCCACCAGTCCCAAAGCCACTGGTGCCAGTGGTAGTACTTCCGAAGCCTGTCTTATTCCCGAAGATACCCCCACCAGTGTTCCCAGTGCTACCAAAGCCACTGGTATTGCTAGTCGAACCAAAGCCTCCGAATCCAGTACTGCCCGACGTAGCTGTGTTTCCTCCGAAGAGGCTGCCACCAGAGGTGGTCGTGGTCCCGAAGCCGGTCTTCTGTCCGAACAATGAATTAGATTGATTGTTTGTGGAACCGAAACCTGCAAGATTCTCATGTTAGTAGCTGGGAAGACAAGAGAAATCAATGAACGACGCAACAAGACAGCAAAGGCCAATGGATGAATGAAAAGAAAAAGATAAACACAGGCAGGATGCACAGTCGATGCGCCGATGTCAGTCCATGTAGATGTGCTGCGCATCCTGACTGCGAATCTCCAAGGCGCCGTCCACAGGCACACCTGGAGTACTGCTCTTCAAGACCCCGGGCAGGCAGAAAATGGTGAGTGGCGAGTCCCGTGTTGCACACCAAGGCTTTTCACCATCTTTCTGCCATGCACGACGACGACGAGACAGGCACAGAGACAGACAGAGAAGGGAGGCCATGCTGAGTTGCGCGAACTTGGGGTCGGGCACATACCGCCACCGGAGCCGAAGCCGCCAGAAGTGTTCCCAAAGAGACCGCCACCAGAGGTGTTACCGGTACCAAAGCCGGATGAGGTGCTTCCAAAGCCTATAATTGATAGGGTACAACGCGGTCAGACAACTGAGCTCAGATGGGGTTCCCTCTCCTGTAGGTGTCCGGTTCGACGTCGAGGTCCTTTTTTTCCTGCCACCTTTTTTTTTTGTCGATTCCGAATCCAACTGCCTGCACGTCGACGCCAAGAACACCGGGGCAACCAGAGCAGAGAAGGGCGACGCAGTAAACGAAATGGGAAGCCGACAAAAGAAAGAAAAGAGAAAGTGATGGGGAAGACCAAAGTGTGACCTACCTCCAGAGCTCGTTCCTCCAAATCCAGAGCCTGTGCCAAAGCCAGAGCTCTGCTGCTGGTTGTTTTGGCCGAAGCCACCGAATCCGCCGAAAGACATTGTTGTCGCGTTCGTTTTTTTTTCTTTATGAATGCATCCGGATAGAAGTTATGGATATGAGAAAGAGATTTGACACGGTGAGGCGAGAGGCGAAAAACAAAGCGCTGCAACTGTCTGGAAAGAGATGGGGTGGACAGTAACGCAGGCGCCACGCCACAGAGGGTAAGGCGAGTGTGAGGAAAGTAGTGAAGTGAAGTGTGGAAGGAAAAAAAAGAAAAATGGACAAAGGCGGGTTTGGTTTTAATATGTCGCGACGCGCCTGGTCGCCGGAAAGAAAAAAAAAACCGTATCGCCGCCTGTTGACGTGTGGCCAGCAGGCAAAAAAACGCTGTCCACCAGTAGCTGATGGTCGGAATTCTCTGCCCTGATCGCGTTCGCAAAGCAGAGAGGAGGAGAAGAGAGAAGTTGGGGGGGGCAGGAGAGAGAGAAGAGCGAGGATGGCAAAGACGCGATGCTGGGGAGAAGAGAGGCTGGGAGGAGGTCAGGAAGGGCGGGTCTGCTTTCGCTTAAAGCGTCTCCTAGGCAGGCGGCCAGCAACACCGCAATGACCTAAGGAGCAGCCCGTTCCGAGCCACCGCCTGCGCAGTGAATGCCACTCGGTCATGTGACCTGCTGACTCAGCGCCTCAGTGACTGCCTGACGAGGCAACAGATCTCGCCCCCGCAGTACTCCGCAGGCAGATACTCCGTACAGCCATCTTCAGCTGATGTACGGGGTTAATCAAGTGAAATAAAGGTGGCGAAAATTTTTTTTTCCAGTTCTATTTTTATTCCGAGAAATAAGCTTCGCCAAGACCCTTTCCTGGTCGGAGCGCGATGACGTCTACAGTCCTACCGAAGACATCTAGAACCAAAGAAAGGTTGGACCATGTAGAAGCGTGGAATTGTGGAATTGTAAGAATACTGTCATTGCAGCTATAGTAATAACGCAGATGGGAATCAGAGTTAACAACACAGTGGGTAATCATGCATCCATCCAAGGGAGCCACGCGGATCGTCATTCTTGCAAGCCCTTTCACGAAAGGCCTCGAGGGTGTGCTGTTTCAAGGGACTCTCGCCCCGGTTCGTGATCATCAGCTCGTTTGTTGTTATATACAGAAATGTTTTGTTCCTCCTTTCATCCTCTTGTTGTTTTTACAGTTCCAGTTCACTTGCGGGCAGCGTGGACGGTCTCGATGATCTTAGTCACAACACTCGGGTCCGACAGCTGTTCAACATGTTAGTGCTGGGTCAATTCCGGACAAGAGTTCGATATCCAAATCGAGGGGAAAAAAAAACACATACCGTAGAAGTGTCACCCAAGCTGTCCTCCTCGCCGCTCAGGACCTTGCGCAGAATACGACGCATGATCTTGCCACTGCGGGTCTTGGGGAGGTCGTCCACGACGTAGACAGCCTTGGGGGCGGCGAAGGGTCCAATGGACTTGCGCACCTGCATGATAAGATCCTTGCGCACCTGGTCGTTCGTCTCGTTGCCACTCTTGAGAGAAACGAACGCGTTCACCGCCTGGCCGGTGAGTTCGTCTGCAATTCCCACAACGGCCGCTTCGGCAACCATGGCTGCAAGATCAATTAGCCATTGAATTCACCGATTGCGCCCCCCCCTTTTTCTTTTTCAAGGAAACTTACGGTGCTCGATCAGGGCGGCCTCGATCTCTGCCGTGGAGAGACGGTGACCAGACACGTTAACGACGTCGTCCACACGGCCACGGATCCAGTAGTATCCATCGTGGTCACGGCCGGCACCATCACCGGTGAACTAGAAAAAATAGGGGTCAGTGGATGTTCTGAGAATGCAGGGTGGAAAAGATCTCACATAGTAGCCCTTGTAGACGTTCAGGTAGGTGTCCATGTACCGCTTGTGGGCACCCCAGACAGTACGGGCCATGCTGGGCCATGGCTGCTTGATGGCAAGGACGCCCTCGACGTCGTTGCCCTTGATCTCCTCGCCCGAGACGGGATCGATGATGGCAGGCTCGATACCGAAGAAAGGCAGAGAGGCACTGCCGGGTTTCGTAGGGGTAACACCGCCCAAAGGAGCGATGATGTGCGAGCCGGTTTCCGTTTGCCAGTAGGTCTATTACGGGAGAAAACAAAGATTAGCACTCCGGGCGACCCAAACCAGAGGCTCTGGGGCGAAGGGGAAACTTACGTCGGCGATGTGCGCTTGCTGCTTACCAACAACCTCAAAGTACCACTTCCAAACTTCAGCCGCAATTGGTTCACCGACCGATCCAAGGACACGCAGGTGCTCCATGTTGTGGTGGATGTGCTCGTTACCGGCACGCTTGAGGAGCCGCAGGGCGGTAGGGGCGACGTAGAATTGCGTCACCTTGTGCTTCTCGATCACGTCCCAGTAGCGAGAGAAGTTGGGGTAGGCCGGGGTACTTTCGAAGACGACGGTGGAGCAGCCAAGGAGCAATGGGGCGTAGACGACATAGGTGTGACCCGTGATCCAGCCAACATCTCCACCGCAGAAGAAGCGATCGTCTTCGTGAATGTCGAAGACGTACTTTCCAGTCGCCGCGGCGCCGACCAGGTAGCCAGCGGTGGTGTGCATGACACCCTTGGGCTTGCCCGTCGAGCCGGAGGTGTAGAGAAGGAAGAGAGGGTCCTCGGAGTCCATGGATTCCGGAGGCAGGTAGTTGGGGAACTTCTCGACCTCCTCGTGCCACCACAGGTCTCTGCCCTTGGTCCACGGCACGTCCGCTCCGGTGCGCTTGTAGACCAGGACACTGGTGACGTCCGGGCACTGCTTCAAAGCCTCGTCGACGATCTTCTTGGTGCCGATCAGCTTGCCACCACGCTTGCCTTCGTCGGTGGTGATAACGATCTTGCACTTGGCGTCGAGAACACGGTCCCGCAGCGAATCTGAGGAGAAGCCGGCGAAGACAACGGAGTGGATGGCGCCGATGCGAGCGCAGGCCAGGAAGGCAATGATGGCTTCGGGGATCATGGGCAGGTAGATGGCGACGGTATCGCCTTTCTTGACGCCCTGGGACTTCAGCACCCAGGCAACCCGCGAGACTTCCCGCATCAGCTCCCCGTAGGTGATGGAGCGGCCTTCGTTGGGCTCATCGGCCTCATAGATGACGGCGACCTTGTCCGGGTTCTTGATGGCATGGCGATCGACGCAGTTAAAGGACGCGTTCAGGCGGCCTCCCAGGAACCAGGCATTGTCGCCGTTGACGAGAGAGCCCGTGTGGGTGGTGTGGAAGTCTTTGTCGAAGGTGAGCAGTTCCCGGGCCATTCGGGCCCAGAAGGTGTCGGGATCCCGGATGGATTCCTCATAGAGCTTCTTGTACTCGTCCAGACCGCTCAAATGCGGCTTACTCGGGTGCTTCTCGAAGAATGCCTTGGGGACATGGTAAGTGTCGACTTCGTGAGCCTCCACCACCTGCATTGGATCAGCATCGTGAAGTTTGACAGAATCTCAACTTTTTTTTTTAATTTGTTCCGGGACGAGCGGAAGCATACCACTGCGGGCTTGGGAGACGGAGTGGCTCCCTCAGACATGACTGCGAGCTTCTAGAGTAATCACGACTGTTCTCAGCGGCGAGAGGCAGAAGTTAGCGCGAGGGTTGGATGAAAGAAAAAGGAGAGTGAAGGGAGAAAGACAGGATGATGACGAGGCACGCGCTACCGCAAGAGGCAATTTGCTCCGCCGGTGGTACGAGCGGGGAAAGGACCGCTGCGCGTGGGCCAGAAGGGACTGGCGGTGCTCACCTGGAAATAACGAGACGCCAGGATGGGCGCTGAACCACGGACGGGGTGAGAGAGATGGAGAGCAGACCAGGGTATCCAAGGACGAGATTCACTAAGGCTCTGAGCAGGGAAAGAGGGAAAGCGTGGATGGAGGGAGGAGAGAGGGAGGGAGGACAGGACGGAAACGGGAGACGCGAGACACGCGGGGTGCCGGAAGCAGCTCCTTTATGTGTGCAGCCTCAACGCTCCAGGGACTGCTGGCTAAATTTTAAGGGCCTTGTTGAGAGCTTCACCGGGGGATTCACTCTCAGTAGGACTGACGATCCAGTGGCAGCCTCGAGCCGGGAGCGCGCAGGGAGTCCTCGGCCATGCGGGGACTAGACGCTTGCAGTTCCGTTGCTCCGGGGTGAATGCAGCGCCAGCCCAGCGGCTCGCAGATCATGATTGGCGACCGGTGCTCGACGCCGCAACTCAGTTGCTCCTGACCGGGGCGTCGGAAACCTGTGCCCTCCGCATGGATTCCGGCGCTGCTGCGGCCGGGCAGGGCAGAGTCGCCCGGGTGCTCTGTACAAGACCGCGGATTCCAGGCGACATGGCCGCGTTCAGGATGCGACGGGGAACCAGGGCTCCATGCACGACCATGGCACTGCGCGAGGCAGCCGGGGTGGGCTTCCCCAGGCCGGCTGGGGGAAAGGCGGGGTGGAATACGAAATGGAAGACGCGATCGCCAATCACCGCAGCTGGACGCGGGCAGATCCTCGTGACGCTCCAGCCTGAATGGCGCCCGCGAGTGTTGGGCCTTGGCGTGGGCTTACGGAGTATGACGGTGATGGCTTCATCGATAGATCGTGTGGCGAAACGACCAAAAGGGAAGTCGATGAGCCAATTACCCGGCCGTGTCCCGGTACAGTCCATGTCCAGTCCCTGCGACTCCCGAACCTAGAAAGCTTACAGAGGACATGGCTTCACCCTGGCCGAGACGAAGACACAATCACGTACGTCACAGAGATTCCCCCTGCATGCCTACGCGTAATACGGCCCAGAGAACCAGTCTGCGCTCGAGTCCAGGCTCGTGGCAGCTGCAGGGAGATTAGAAATAACAAGGAGCCATCCAGGACTTCTTCATCAACCCTCGTTCGGTAGCTGCATCAGGCTGCAGCTATAAGCCCCGACGGCTTGACTGCTAAGCGTTTCCTGGAAGGTCTCGACGCACCCCTCCCCTGCAAGTGCAAGCGCAGCAGGGGTGCGTTGTGAATTTATCCGCAAATGCTTGCATGTAGTTCGGCTACAAGTTGCTTATGCTTACACTGATGTTTCCAGAATCTAGCTCAGACCATTTACGCTGCGCTTTAACTGCTGGTTCCACATAGTCCAAACTTTTTGTACGACTAGAATGAAGCGATAATAATTCAGTTATTATCACCAGCAGGGAAGTCAAAACCTTAATGACGGCGGTCGCTCGAACGGGCAGTTACTTCCTCCTGCCCCTGAGATTGAAGCGCAGCCTCGTTTCATCTTGATTATTATTATATTAACTAGGATTCTATTAATTAGCGACCTAGGTACATATTCTTATGCCTGCCACCCGCCATTCCACCAACTGCCCGCCCCGAGCGCAAACACGGCTACGCTGCCATCCCGGACGATGTCCCGCACCAGCTGCACCCACGTGCCAGGATCCGTCAACTGCCCCTTGTGACGCGATGCCTGCAGCATCTTGGCTCCATTCAACAGGAGCTCGCCCGTCATGAATATCACAAACGGATTCTGTGCCGTAGCAGGCGGCGGCGGCTGGCTGCCATATGTCGCCACCGACGATCCGATCAGCACCAGCAGGTACACCCCGACGGCCAGCGCAAAGAACACGTGCAGCAGCTTCCAGATCCACTCGCGCTTCTTCTCTTCCGGCGTCTGGGGCTGCGGACCCCCGCCGAGGAGCAGTTTGGAGAGGAAGGGCGGAAGGCCCAGTGCAGACGTCAAGTCAGACGGCGACAGGTTTCCTGCTGCAGAGCCTGGGGCGGTATTTTCACCCCCAGGCAGGCCTCCTAGCATCGCACTGAGCAATTTCATCGCAGGATCCTCGTCAATCTTTTGCTGCTGCTGCTGCTCGGGGGGATTCGCGCGCAATAATGCCCGTAGATATTCCTGCTGCGCTTGTATATTTTCCGCGGTCTGATCTTCGACCTTGGGTGCTGGAGGCTGAGGCGACGGAGATGTTCGAGGGAGCTGCTCAGTTGACTCTGAGGCAGCGACTGCCGGCGAGACATGTCGCGGCGCCGGGGAAGTGCTTTCGCGCTCTGTTCACCGACAAGCACTCGTCAGCCAATGTAAGCATGAGAGGTTCAAGATAAAGAGGAGACCGTACCACTCGCTGGCGGCCTTCCGCTTAAGCTGGTGATCTTGTCCAACCGGGCGCTTCCAGTGGCCCTGATTTTGGCCTCGCGACGCTCACGACGCAGGCGCGCCGCCTGCTGAGCGGGCGTTTCTTCTGTTGAGGACATTGGAGCGGTCGTCTGATCAGGGGTCACGCTGGCCCGGCACAAAAAAAAGGCGGGAATTCAAACCGACGACCTGGCGAGATCTGCGAGAGCTGAGGCAGAAATAAGGACAGGAGAAGGATGCCCCCTGGGCAGTACGCGGCAGCAGTGAGTCGAGAAACGGAAACAAGCCGTCTTCGTGTCTGGAGGATGGGAGACGGTGAGGCGCTTTCTGGCAAAGCGTTGACAATGGTCTGGCCAAGCCTGACGTCGATGCGAAGCGCCGTCCACTCGGAGCGCAGCCTTCCGCACTAGCCGCCGCGTCCAGCCAGTCAGCGTTGTTCACGTCGATTGTCCAGCGATGCGATCGTTCGCTGTTCTTTGATCTAGAAACGGAGATTAATTTAAGTTGTCTGGTCAAGTAACATTATCCTGGTGCTCTTCCTCTCTTTACGGTTCTCCGCGAGCGATCGTTGACCTGATCATAGCATCTGGAGTATGTCAGATATATATATTCTTAACCAATCACTGCCTACGAAAACGAATTAGCAAAGAGTACCTACATAATTCACAGCATGACTACCAAGCTATATCTGATCTATAGAATCTCCTCTCCATCGCCACACTCTATAGTCCCTTAATATGAACAGTAGTCTCTATTCAATAATATTTTCCCTCAAACGCACAATAATAGCTTAACATGTCTTCAGATTACCCCTCACTCTATCCAAGATAGAAAGAAGTGGAGGGAAATCCGGGTACTTACGCCGTCATGACTATGCCACCTCATCCCGCATTATTATAATTTACGACTCAATTCAACCAGTCACATCATTACCCTAAGATGCATACACGCTCCGTCGAACCAATACTCCGTATTTCGTGACCCTGCACTTTTGGACCTAGTAAGTCGATTTAACCTCGGATGATAATACATGGATTGACCTCCGGCCGATATCGGTCATAACTCGGGATTTTCCCAGAAGTTTCCGCGTCGCCGTCGCCGGGGATGTTCGTTCGTTCGTTCGTTCGTTCCTGCAGTAGACCGAGGTTTTCCTTGTCTCCGAGCTCGGTAATAATAATTAATATTGAATGAGCAGTTATCTAGAGGAGAGTGGGGGGTATAATAATATCAATTCATTGTTAATATTCCTGCTAGTTGGCCTTTTTTTTCTTCCTGGCTACACTTATTTTGTCCCTGATGGAGTTGGGTTTAGCTAGGTGCAGATTGAGAAGAAGCGGATAATCTCGTCAGGACAGTAGTTAGTTGGCTTCTAATAACTGAATTTGCTTCTGGTGTTCTATATGTAGCAGCAATAGTCCTGGATATGGCACAGGATAAATAATCTCACTGTAGTAAGTATACTAATGGAGTATATACAACTGTAGAGGTAGGGCTATCAGGTGTGAGTAACATTAAGATGTGTTGACATTCCCAATATTTTTTCATCTTACCTCAAGATACCATCTAATCGATTCTCCAGATTACATATTTTTCACTGTTTCCCTGTCGTGATGAACAATTAACAATTGCTAATCAGATGCCAAGAGCGGCGGAAGGCATCACACTAAGATCAAGGTTATCATCGTCATGACGCTAGACTGATAGATACCTAGTCTTCTTTCTCCCCAGATCCGTCCCGCACTGCCTGGGTTGACAAGAATACCAAGATAGAAAACTCTGGCGATTGCAATCCAGATGGAGGTTCTCTTTACTGGTACCTAAACGATGGCGCATCATCCGCTGGATCCAGCGCCCCAAAAATCCCTCGGATTGGTCGGCTCCCCGGGAGGTCATGACGTAGGCAGTCACGGAGGCAGCGCAACTCAATGAGAGCTTCCCTCTCGATGATATCAGCGTGCAAACCTGGGGAAGAAGCTCTCTGGAGCTCTCCAAGATGTGACGAGAGAGTCCTCTACTGCAGTCGCTGTCGCGCTACGACATGAGAGGGCACCCGTTGCCGTCTGGATGAGAGCTGCGCGATCACCTAGCTCCAGCTTGAGCTCCAGCTCCAGCTCCTTCATGCGTCTGGTCAGTTAATTCTTCTTCTTCTGTTTGCAGCTTGGAACCGTTGCAGGGCCGGACGACCACAGCGTCCAAGTTTGGCCGCAATGTCGACCCAGCACCGTCCCGGAGGCTACTGGAGTGCCGTCAATCCAATCCCGACCATCCAGAAATTCATAGAAGGCCTTGACAGGGAGAAGAAGGAGCGCGACCGGCAGATCGACGAGGAGATCCGCCGCAAGAAGCAGCAGAAGAAAGAAGGCAAAGAGCCGGTGGGCCGTGAGGGTGAAAAGCCATCCAAACGACCTGTCCGGAGGGTGACGGATCCGACCACAGGCAAAGAGATACAGATCGAGGATGTTGGCAAGGATTTTATGAAGGATGTCCGGGATCCAAAGGTGTGAAAAAGCCGGCATATGCACATGCGAATAAGCAAGTTCTGTGGACTAACATGGATGCTCTAGCTTACAGTCCCCAATGCCAACGTGGGCAAGCCCACGGTAAGTACTGATGCTATGCCAGAGAAAAGGTTTTACGAACTCCACTGTTAATACATACAGCCTATCAAGACAGATCCTCGCCAGGATTTACGGGAGTACAAGTACAACCAGGACGTCACCTCTCCCCCAGACCCCATTGCCGACGGCACTACGACCGACGTGCCGATTCATGGCGAGAGAACGAACATCCTGTTCCATCCGACTCCCTCCATTACTTACCAGCCCATGTTTGACCAGTTGGAGAGGCGTGCCTATGGCATTTGTGGGGGCATGGTTATTGCCATAATCACTCTGGGAAAAATGTTTGGAGGCTCCTTCTGGGGCCTTTTGCCGCTATCCTTCTGTCTCGCATCGGGCGTGTTTCTCTGGATGAAGGAGGTCGTCCGAAGTGGCAGGGAACTGGAGTGGAGCAGCGAGCAACTGAGGGGCGAAACTGTGCGTTCTTAAACATTCTCTGCCTCATGGTCCTGTACTGACTGCTTTGCAGGCCACTGCTAATCTCTTGCCCGAATCAGTGGAATGGATGAACGCCTTTCTCAGCGTCATATGGGGTTTGCTGAATCCCGAGATGCTGGCAGGGGTGGCCGACACGATCGAAGATGTCATGCAGGCCTCGGTTCCGGGAATGATCGAGAACGTCCGCATTGCAGAAATCGACCAGGGTAATAACCCGATCCGGATCCTCAGTGCTCGATCTCTTCCCGACGGCCATGTCCAGCACCTGAAGGACAATATCCGCAGAGAGAACCAGAAGAAGAATAAAGACCCTCAAGAAGCCGCTGCGGCCGAGGAAGGCTGTGACTGCTACAACCTCGAAGTCTCCTTCGCCTACCATGCGAGGCCCAGCGGAGAGAGCACGTCTTCAAAGGCGCGGAACATGCACATGCACCTGGTGTTCTATCTCGGAGTCAAGGGCCTCTTCGGGGTGCCTATTCCCATTTTCGCGGAATTGATCGAGCTGGTGGGAACGTTGCGGATCCGACTGGAGATGACGCCTCAGCCGCCGTTCGCCAAATCGATGACGTTCAGTTTTATGGGGCTGCCACATCTGCGCGCGGGCTGCGTTCCGCTGGTAAAGGGAGGAATCAACATCCTGAACCTTCCGGTGATCTCCAACTTCGTCAACTACGCCATCGGCGCAGCCGCCAGTCTCTACGTGGCCCCGAAATCGATGACCTTGGATCTCAGCCGGATGCTGAAAGGCGACGATATCGAAAAGGACACACCGGCGTTGGGCGTCATGTGGATCCGCATCCATCGCGCGATCGGACTGAGCAAGCAGGACCAAAGGGGCAGCAAAGGCGGCGGCAGCGATCCTTACATCAACCTGTCGTTCTCCAAGTACCGCAAGCCCATGTACTGCACGCGGGTCATCACGGACGAGCTCAATCCGGTCTGGGAGGAGTCGGCCGCACTGCTCGTCACGCCGGAACTCATCAAGGCGGATGAGCAGCTCAGCGTCGAACTGTGGGACTCGGACCGCAACACGGCCGACGACATCGTCGGCAAGGTGGAGCTGTCGATGCAGCAGATGATCCAGCACCCGGGGAAGATGTACCCGCAAGTGTCGAAACTTCAGGGCATGGACGAAGGCAGCCGCATGCCGGGCGAGCTGCACTGGGAGGTCGGCTTCTTTGGGAAACCCAAATTGCGACGCGAGCTGCGGACGGACGGGAAGAACAAGGAGCTTCCAGAGACGCTCCGCGGGGATCCTAGCCTGCAAGACGAGAAGGGAGTCATCACCACCGAGGAGGAAGACGCCGTCGAACACACGCCTCCGGATCCGCTCTGGCCCAGTGGCATCTGCAGCATCGTCGTCCACCAGATCGTCAACCTGCAGCTGGAGGATATCAAAGGAAGCAAAGGAAACCGCAAGGGCCAGGAATACGAGCCTGCCAGGGACTGCGGAGAGAACACTGAGGAGCAGGGGAAGAATCTGCCTACGAGCTACTGCACGATCTTGCTGAACGACCAGCTGGTGAGTGGAATTAAATAGAGTTTTCTTTCTCTCTGCGCTAACAGACTTCTAGGTGTATCGGACTCGTGCCAAAGCAGTCAGCAGCAAGCCGTTCTTTAATGCAGGCACGGAAAGATTCGTGCGCGACTGGCGATCTGCGATTGTCACGGTCACGGTCCGGGACCAGCGCTATCGTGAGCACGATCCCATTCTCGGGGTTGTGTCGCTGAAGCTGTCGGAGATCATGAAGACGAGCTCCCAGGTGACACGATGGTACCCTCTAGAGGGCGGGATCGGATTCGGACGCATCCGGATTTCGCTGCTGTTCCGCAGCGTCGAGACGAAGCTGCCGCCCAACATGCTCGGATGGGATGTTGGAACGTTCGAGGTCACCTCTGACCGGATCACGGCGAAGAAGTACCCGCACCAGGCCAAGATCCGGCTTCGTACGGGCGGCAGCTCGGGGCGGATTCCGCGGTCGGTGTGCCGCCGGGAAGATGGCGGGAGCTATTATTTCGACCTGTCGCAGGGCTCGAAGGTGCGGTTGCCGGTTCGGTACCGGTATCGCTCACCGGTGGTGTTTGAGTTCCACGTCGCCAACAAGAGAGGCGCGGCAGCGTACGCGGTGCTATGGCTGCAGCATCTGGTGGACAACGAGAACACGCCAATCGATCTGCCGATCTGGACGACGAAGCGCGGCAATCGCCTGACGCAGAACTACATCACGGAGCAGAACTGGCGGGAGCTGAAACTGGACACGCTGCAGGACCTGACGGAGGTGGGCCGTCTCCAGTTCACGGCGCGGTTCTCCGCCGGCATGGACGAGTCGCACAGGCGGTTCGTCGTGGACAACAACAGTCGCGAGACGTACGAGACGTGGGAGGCGTGTATCTCGGAGGGGCTTCGGTCAAGGGAAGTGTCTGTCGAGACGCCGCAGGTCGTCCAGGAGCAGAAGTCGGCGGATGACAGCAAGCGCAGCGGCACCTCTGGGGAAGAGACGCGGCAAGAGGTGCAGGCCTCTGATGAACGACGAAAGACGACAGACGAACCTGCTGCCAATCCTCCAGTGGACAAGCCGGAGAGAAATGACGGTGACGGAGCAAGAAACGATAACCAGAAGAACGACCACCCAGACTCACCCCGCGGCTCAGAATCATCCAGGGACGACAACAACGACAACAACAACACGACCAGCCAGGACTCATCCTCCTCATCTTCCTCCTCCTCTTCCTCCTCCTCCTCACCGCAGGAAACCACCCCCATCCGCACAGGCAACAAAGCAAACAAGCGAAGCGAACGGCGCAAACAGCGGGGGATGATGCAATGGAAGCCGGTCCGGAACGCGGTCTTTGCGCGGGACGAGGCGCGGTTCGCGCTGCACAAGGTCAAGAAGAGGATGGGATGGATGC